AATATAAGTGATAATTCTAATGTGATATGATTATATCAATAGTGACAATATAATATCTAATTATGGTAATACGAATTTGTTCTCCAGAATATTCAAATTCACATACTTAGTATAACCAAAACAATATATATTGTTTAACTCATTTGTAGAATACCTAATTACTAATAAAACTAGCTTATTTATTTAAACTGCTTTGATTGGGTTTTATTAATTTGTTAAGTATGAACATAATATCCGTTTAAATATGCAAATCTCCATTTGTTTGCATATAACTTAATTATGTATAGAGAGCTCGCAAAGGTACCGATTGGGTAAAAGACTCATCGAAATATGCGTAGTAGCTGTGAGAACAGCTTCCATTTAAACTGAGTAAAATTTGTGACTTTTAAATGAACTCCTTTCAGAATTGTGTTTACGGTTTAAGAATATCCCGAAATAATAACAATAATAAATAAAAGTAATGTTAGGGTTTCCCCTGTCCAGGTTCCTCATTATGAACATAGACAGAACTTAATCATAAGGAATTTACTTAAAAAAATCGAAAGTACTTTAGTTCTATCTTGACAACCTCTTTATCACAACTGACAAATTACGCTGTAATAACACTTTCTCTTATCAAATACTCACAATCATTGCAAAAAGATAATGTATTATATTATTAGTAAGTTAAATAACTTCATTATGGTGGATCTATAAAAGAAGTGGGAAGTGGGGGGACAAAACTAAAGTAATTAATTTAAAAACAGACTGTGTGAATATGTACATACATCTAAACAAACATTTGTACAATATATGTATGTATAAAAAACAGAAGTTTTGATTTAACGAATTACTAATGATTTTATATAATCTTTTCATATATTTTGAATTTTTTATATATACAAAAAGTTATTTTATAATTGAAAGTATTAACATATGCTTTTATTTAGAATCTTGATAAATCATTTAGAAAAATTTTTCATATCACTTAAGCACAATATGTAATACATTTTTATTATTTTTGTATTTGCCTATGTAAAATAGGAACATAATCATCGTACTGAGCCTGATAATAGTTTCCAGCAATCGGATTACCCAAATTAAATTCGTCAATATAGTCTCTTGTTTTTATATTAAGACGTCCTTCACGAGTACTGAAAAGTGTAACAGTAAAATTGATTACATTAGATAAGCAAATTTTGCCTAGAAGTGCTTACGTTTTTGGAATAAATAGCTCGGTAACGATTTTTTCCGATTGCTTAAAAACCAGAAATATATAACGATGCAATCCGGTATCTTTTGGCGGTCCAGATCCTCTATACTCAACTACAACCTGTCCGTCAGCAACTTTATTACCAGGTATATTCACTACAAACCAATGATTTATTTCACGAAATATAGGATTTTTACGACTTGGCGCATCTGGATCAATCATTAGTAATGTATATAATGCATCACTCTCAGCATTCCAATTAACTTCTGGTTGATCTTTTACTTGCGTAGGAGTTAATTCACCACCAAGTTCGACTTTTACATCATCAGCATAAGTAATCTATAAAGAAAATATATATGCACGAAATATTGTACATTGAATAAAATAATTATACAATAGTATATTTACTTCTGCAATTTCCTTTGGTGCTTCATCAATAACATCGGGCACTATATCATTAGAATCCATACTCGCGTGTTATTCAACCTCTTAACTACACACTTCAATTGAAACTATTCGAACACTAATTATTTTAAATTAATACCAAATACGATATCTTTTTAAGCTTTGTGTAATTGATAATGGCTTTCAAACTTGAAGAAGTGGGCAACTTTTGATATGCATATAAAGGGACTGTACGATATAAAAATGAAATTTCACATCTACGATCAAAAAATGTAATAGAAATAAAAATAAATATGTAAATTATATTTTTTTTAATTCATTATTTTATTTTACAACCAATAATACTTATATCACAGACGCAATGAACTTTAAACTTGGATAATAGATGTTAATATTTTTATGTAGAAACTTCAAATATATATTGTGCAAAAATTTGTTTGATAATATAGTATCCATAGAAACCTTGATGAAAACAATTTTATAATATTTAGTATTGTTTCATCATTCAGCTGAGGAGTTTACATTTTAACACCCACACACAATCTAAAAGTATTACTGATAATTGAAGTACATTCAATCAACAATCTCAAAATAATACACTCATATATTTTTAAATCACTTATTTTAGTAGAAAAAAAAACCAAAGATTTCAAAGTATCTAAAAGATTTTTATATTTTTATAAATATATGATTTTAAAGTCAGAGATAAATTTATTTTTTTTGGGCTCCCATTTGCTCATGTAAAATACGCACATAGTCATCGTACTGGGCTTGATAGTAGTTGCCGGCAACAGTTGTGAGATTGTATTTACCAATATAATCCCTTGTTTTTACATTAAAACGACCTTCACGGGTACTGTGAAAACAAAATTATGTTGAAATATATAGAACACTTCAAACTTCTATTTTAACATTTACGTTTTTGAAATGAACTTATCGGTTGTAATTTTTTCAGCTTGTTTGAAAACGAAAAATATATAGCGATGTAGACCGGTGCCCTCTGGTGGACCAGAACCAACAAATTCTACAACTGTTTGACCTTCAGCAACTTTATCGCCTGGAATATTTATAACAAGCCAATGACAAACTTCTCTATATTTTGGATCTTGACGAGACGGTGCATCAGGATCAACCATTAGTAAAGTATACAATACACCGCTTTCAGCATTCCATGTAACTTCAGGTTGATCTTTCACTTGTGTAGGTGTTAATTCGTTACCAAGCTCTACAACTGCGCCTGAAGGGTACTTTATCTTTAAATTGGCATTAAAAAAGGTTATTTAGAATAAAAAATATTATAGGAAGTAATAATTAAATTTACTTGTGCTTTTTCCTTTGGTGCTGCATCGATGATATCGGGTATTATTCCGTTCTTGTCCATGTTCTAAAAATATACTGTGAGCACTGAAACAACTAAATGCAAACTGTCTGCAAACACTCGCTACTCACTTCTTTTATCATGCACCTGTAATCAGTGCTTATAGACCATACAGATAATGACCACTTTTTTCAAGTCACCTTATGATAAGCAACTATTAGCGCAAGCAAATTTGTCTGGAACCTACTTTGGTTCTCTATGTTATGATTGATCAAAGGGAAAACATAGTAAAATTTAAATGTGTGTTATCTAACTTATTTATATTCAATATAATTCATTATATATAGATATTTAAATTTATTTATTTTTTATCTAATATATGTATATCTAATTTTGTTGTGAATTTAACAATTAATTAAAAGTTTCTCATTATAGTTATTTTTTTGGAAATAAATTATAAAATAAAAAATTATCATAAATCAAATTGATATGATTATAAATAGTCTCGAGATACAAAGGTTACGTGTCTAAGCAGTAGTTCCTTTATCTAAACTGAGTCATACTTGACAGTAGTCTGAACTTAGTATAGAAACAAGTTTATTTGTTTTGACACAATTTTAGTAATACAATTAAGACTACAGGTGAAGACTTGATGGAAGAGATTTATAATATGCATATCCGATAATAGGCTATCCGAAACACTTCATAGATACATATATCAATATTATAGTCAAATTACTGTTGGGTAATGATGAGATATAATAGAAATTTGAATATTCCGTACACCCTTATCAAAGCTGTCAGGAACATAAGGAGAGCGCTTCACAACTATTTCGTCATTATTTAGCGTATGCGCTACTTAGGTTGAACACTTATTTTTAACACATGCAGTTAAATACACTACATTGGTAGTTGATTACTTATTTTCTAAAGGATCTTAGTCAGCTATATGACCTCTTATTAAGAGCTTATTGTGCTTCAGTCAAGCTTCCAAATACTTTTCGCGGCAATACAATATGGCTCCTGGCCTTAGTATGAGACTCCGGTTCTTAACTAATGGTGTCAATATAATTTCATATATTTTATTATGAGATATTTTTTGCAATTAGCACTAAGCAATTTTTTCAGTTCTTGCTACATTCCATTTGTTTAGTTTTCAAAAAGGCTTCCTTTAAAGCTTACGCACGCAAGTCAATAATAGTTGCGAATGAATTGACATTTTTGAATAATCCTAATTATATCTTTTTCAAAATTTTCAATAAGAATGTATCAGTAACTACAAAAAATAAACAGAAAATACTAATATAAACTGATGATAATTATTACCTATACGAACCATTTGCCAGTCCAGAAAATTCTAATTAAAAAAAACGACTAAATTGAATTTCAGAGTTAAAAAAACAATAAAATTTTCAAATTTATTCTTTTAGAAACTCATATGACTAATTAAATCGATTTTAAAATTTATTGGTTCTACTCGATAAACAATTTTTTATTAATATATTTCTCACTTCTGTGTGCCTCTGTTTGCCAACACCGTATTTTACATTTATTCCCCCCTCTTGCTTTGATTTAACTCAACAAATGCTGACTCACATGCTTGCGGTTAACTGTTATGAAGAGCGAAGAGCGATATACTCGTATATTATTTATTATATATTTTATTTAACTGTTTATAATTAACATTTTCAATATAGTCAATAAAGTTCAATGATAGTTAATGTATATATATAGAATGTTACATTTTGTTTATTTGTTGTAATAATTAATAAAGCTAATTCAATATATAAGAGAGGTTGAATAATCGAATAATTTCAACAATTATTATTTAATTCGAAAAATGCAAATACCTTACTGTTTATATATAAAAAATCATATATATAAATTTTTTTATAAAGAGCGATAGGTTTCTTGCTTCGAATAGTATTGTGCATAATCAAATTAAACAATATATTTTACTCATACATTAACGTTCTTTTATATTTGGAGATTACATACATATTTGTTTATGCTTATAATGGAAAAGTAAAAAAATATTACAAAACTATGTAGAAATAAACAATAATTAATTGGATACGTTCAAGGGAAGTAAACTAAGAAATACGAGTACATAAAATATTCAAATTAAATATTTAAAGAGTAGAAATAATGTAGAATAGAAATAATGTATATAAACATAACACTAAATTGGAATACATAAATTTTAATTATTTTTGGAAAATACAAATTTCTATGTTCAATATCATATTTTACATTGCGCGTCTTTGACGTTTCCGTAAAAATTTTAGGGTGCCACCGCTAACTCTTAACAGCTCTTAACAGCGAGTTTCGTATAATCCGCTACGACCAATATAACGCACCCATTTAACGACATCATGATCAGAGTAGTTCAATTTTGGTTCGAATACTTTCAAATAGCGTACCTTGAAACCAGATGGTGCGAATGGTACCTCAAAATTCATAGATATAGGTGGGCGTGTCCATTTCTTTTTCGTATCGGTTTCTAGTAATTCTATTTCAGCTGAAAGTTGAGTTTCTTTCATACCCGCCATACGTTTGATTTTCCAAACAATGGCATTCTCTGATGCTTTATATTTTGCTTTGCCTTTAAGACATATGAGTTGAACACCAGAAGTATTTAAAGGCGTAGGTATTTTTACTTCAATTTTTTGACCCAACAGAGAAGGTTTGAAATTCGATTTCAGTACTACTTTTACTTCCATTTTAGTGCGGCCAACCTCACGCACCAATGGTATAACACGGAATGGCAATGAAATATCTTTTGTTGTGCGGTAACGCATTAATTCAAATTCACCGTCTGGCGGTATAAAACTAATCGAGTGTTCAGTCTCAAACTTGCTAAGCTTGACACATTGATGAAATTGGCAATCATCAATAACTACAACAGGCTTACCAGAGCGTGAAGTTTCTGCTTCGGAATTTCCAGAAAGACCACGACCTTTCGATTCCATGACAATTTTGTCATTAATACCAAATTTACATTCGGGCATCCCTGAAAAAAGTTAACAATTAATTTCAAAGTTTCAAAAAAACATAAAAAAAGATTTTTTTTTGCATTACCAATACAAATTAAAAGTTGGCTATGATTTCGTATGAAGTCTGATACTATTTTATCTATTTCTCGACTTTATCTAATTGAACTGTCGTGTAAGTCCCTGTATGAAGTCTTATGAATTTAGCACAAAACTTGAGAATGGAATTAGCATAATAACAAGCAGATAGTTGAAGAGACTGATTGGCAGACTATATAAGCTGATAGCCAAATAGAATATTACAACAAACTTAACATACTCTTCTTCGATGTAAGAACATCACTTATTAATAGTAATTTATTATCTTACTTAACAATACTTGGGTTTGCTTCAGATATGATTTTGTATTACAACCATATCATTACAATTGGTTATTAAATTAACCATTGTAATTTAAATAAAACATGTAATGTAAAAGAAGTTAATTTACTTTTAAACATTAGGACAAAATTTTAATAGTATTTAGATTAATTGTATAATAAATAAATATATTATACATATTATTTGGACAGAAATAATATTTATTTTGTACATTTATGTACAATAATCATACACGCATATATATATATTTAGCAATATACCATAGATAAAACATACCGACCGCTTTTAAAAAAGCTGAATTTATTCTTTGGGTATTTAATTTATCATTTAAGACTGGTTTGAATATGCAAAATATATTAACGATTATTACTGTATTTAACCAATAATGAATTAATATTAAAAATAATTTTAATATTAAATAAAAAATAAACGTGTTTATTCACTTTCTAAGAGTTTCTTACTCACCCGAAAGATATGATTTCATTACAACCTTACCAGCTACGTGAGCCGATAACACTTGACCTTGCGGACTCATAAGCAAGTTTACATACTCTAAAACATCCAAAAACAACTCGTTGCGCCGGTACTTAATACCTTCACGTCGCCAGCCTATTTGACCCGTTACCTTACAAACGAAAAATTTATATTATTTATAAAATACTTATATTCATGTCACAAATATATTACTTGGGAAGTAATTTGCATTTGTTCTTCTTTGGTTGCAGACTTGATACCTTGCTGTGTGATAAAAGTCTTCAGAGTTCCAGAATCTGTGTTTTGAGGATAACCAAAATCCAAAATTTCATCAAGCAACTCATAAATAAGCACAAAATTATTCTTGATGTTCTCTTCAGATATTTTACCAAAGTATGATTGCATCACTTCAATAATTTTAAGAAGGAACTCAAATACCATCGCAGCATTTACATTTTGTTTGGTCACCGCAGCTAACCATATATTAGCGCGCTGTAAAATGGGCGTATGTATATTCAATTCATATTCACATACATTTCTAGCAGACGTGGCACTTACCTTAATATGAAAAAAACTAGTTCGCGCTATGTTAGTAACTGGTGACCGGACTTGCTGACGAGCATGTATCACATTTACTCTGAATGCATCCACTGCATTACGTCCGATGTCATCACGATAAACTCGGCTGATAAGAACTTCGCCTTTATGATTGTAAACAAATAAGCCACCAATCATCTTGGCTACCTATTAGGCCCTAAGTTACTCAGAAAACAAAAATGTTTATATCAAATTTGATTTTACTGTTTAGATATTGGTCAAACTGAAAGATTCGGAGAAATTTCTCTACAATTTTTTCCAATTTGCACCAAATATCGATCAACACCCTCCACAAATTAAAATTTTGACGTCTATATAATTGATGGTCGACAGGGTTGCAATTTAATCCAATATTGAAATTTACAAATGCTTTCCAGCTGCGCTTCGTTGAAATAACACATCTTTTTATGATTCGTTATATTGAAATTGGCTAATATTTTTTAACCACAAAATCGGTGATAGAACACTTCTCTTCATAATTTATCGAAAATATTTTGAATCAGGAAAATTTACCAAATTTTAAATATATTGAGGTATAATGTATGGCAGTGATAAATTTCATATAAGCTGAATAGGTATTGACAGAATTTTTGTGACCCATCTAAAGAATGATATAGACGATGCTACATATCTGCACACCAAGTATAAAGTTCAAGTATGCGATTTGCTATACACTTTGAAACAAGGTATGCATACTTCATTTTGATTTATTTTCTACAGCGTTCATAAAAACAGCGGAGCAAGTACAGAGTGCAAAATAGTAATCGAAACTGAAGGATTTGAAATAATGATAATAGCAACATGTTATTTATTTCATTATATGTATAAAGATTTCATATTTCTTAGAATTAAACACAATTTCTTATTTTAATTCTTAAAACTAAAATTATTTTTAATTGAATTCTTTAAAATGCTGCATTTTAATATTTTTATTCACAAAATAATTTTTAAAATATAAAAACTTTCTTAAAAAATGTTTTTAGCACAAAATAATTTTTAAAATATATAAACTTCTTTAATAATTGTTTGTAGCACTTTTTTCTAAATTTGCTTCTTTTAAAAAAAATAAATGTCTAGCACATTTTCAATTTTTTTCCGCGATTTTTGCTCGTCCGATGCTCACCAAAATTCTTAAATTATGAGAAGTCTGCAGATTTCGATGTACACATTGTGTACACAAGCACACATGTGTGCAGACTTAACAAATAATTGAAAAGTTTTAATTTTACCGCATACATGTCTCAGACCGAAATTTGGTATGCAAACTTAAATATACAAGGTGCGATTTGGTAGAACGCATACCTTGCATCGTCAAACATGTAGCATCGTCTATATCCTGCTTAAGTAAGCATATAAATTTGTTGGCATATTGCGTATACAAACATATATATATTCTTGGTTGCAAGTCAGCACATTTACAAGCAACAACATGGAAATATGTAATAAATTAATAATTTTAAAAAAACTAAATTAAGTTTGAATGTTAAAAACTTCATGTTTTTTTTTTTGGTGGATTCTTATATTTTTCATATACATAATTACATTTTTGTTTGTGAGAAAAGTGTTGATATTGTAGGAAACGATATCAAAAACCACACACATATGCTCTATTCAGTGAACCATGGTTACGTATGTGTGTTTATTCATTAATAATAAAAAAATCAATGATATATTGTTTAGCAAATTATGTAAATGTAATTGAATTAAAAAAAATTCTTTATGATCTGCTGTATAAAATAATATCTAATAATATAAAATAAAATAATAAAAATTTAAATATGCAACTCTGTATTTTTTGACAGCTTTGGTACGCACGTAACTTCGTAAATTACATGACTTTGCGGCTTCCAAATAAGAAATTCATTGCTGGTAAATATTTTGTTAGTGAATACTTTGTGATTAAATTAGGAAAATGCCTGCTGAAAATTTAGAAGAACAGGGTTTGGAAAAGAATCCAAAATTGGAATTGGCACAAATGAAGTTTTTATTAACTTTGGAGGAGCATAAAAATGACACAGCGCTAAAAAATGGCTTACTAGATGCTATACGTGCGGATAACATGGCTCCATGGTACGAGCATATTTGTACAGAACTAAATTGGACTGTTGATAATGATTTGCTTACAAAAATGAAAGAACAAAATCGCAATGAATTGGCAAAATTAGATGAAGCGATAGAGGATGCTGAAAAGAACCTTGGCGAAATGGAAGTGCGTGAGGCGAATTTAAAGAAGTCTGAATATTTATGCCGTATTGGTGATAAAGCTGCTGCTGAATTAGCATTTAGAAAAACTCATGAAAAAACAGTATCGCTGGGCCATCGCTTGGATATAGTTTTTCATTTAATTCGTCTTGGTTTATTTTACTTAGACCATGATCTGATAACACGCAATATTGAAAAAGCCAAATATTTGATAGAAGAAGGTGGAGATTGGGATCGACGTAATCGCTTAAAAGTTTACCAAGGTATATATTCAGTAGCCATAAGAGAGTTCAAATCTGCTGCAAACTACTTTCTGGATACTGTAAGCACATTTACTTCATATGAATTGATGGATTATCCCACTTTTGTGCGTTACACTGTGTATGTGGCTATGATTGCCTTACCACGCAATGAACTGCGTGACAAAATCATAAAGGGTGCAGAAATTCAGGAAGTATTACACGCGCTACCAGATGTTAAGAAATACCTATATTCACTTTATAATTGTCAATATTCAGATTTCTTTATGCATTTATCTGAAGTTGAACAATTGTTACGCAAGGATTATCTAGCCTATCCTCATTACAGTTTTTATGTCCGTGAAATGCGTATACTAGCCTATACTCAATTGTTGGAATCATATCGTTCTCTAACGTTGCAATATATGGCGGAAGCTTTTGGAGTCGATATTGATTACATTGATCAAGAGTTAGCCCGTTATATTGCAGCTGGTCGCCTGCATGCCAAAGTTGACCGTGTAGGTGGAATTGTCGAAACTAATCGCCCGGATAGTAAGAATTGGCAATACCAAGCAACTATTAAACAGGGAGACTTACTGCTTAACCGTATACAAAAACTTAGCCGTGTTATTAATATATAAAATCATTGTTAATTTAATAAAACACATATACCCCGAAATTACAAAATTTTATTTATATGAAATTAATTTAAAACCAAACTTAACAATTAAAAAGAAATAAAAAAACAAAAACATTTTTATAACACACACCTCGTGAACTGCTTCATTTTGTTATAAATAAATTTAAATAGTTTGGAAACATATATTAAATATTTTTCATTTTTGTTTTACATACGTATTATTACTTTTATTATTATACATTTTATGGAATTGTACTTCCTACTGCTATGTTAAACTTACTTTGGAAGCTAGTACTAATCTTTGGAAGCTCTTTGGATTAACCTGACGAGTATTATTCAAGCGTGTTCAAGCACTCTAAATTTTTATATAATAAGTTTGAAATATAATTGTCTAGTAATATAAAAAGTATTTATATTTTAATAGTTTCTACCTATTTATTCGATTAAACCAATATATAAACTAAAATAAACCAGAATTATTAAAATTCTTATATATATAATTGCAAGTACAATAATTTTCTACATATAGAAAATGGAAACAATAGTTAGCAG